CATGGACGAGTTTGGAGTGTACTTGGCCGTCCACACAGGAGCTAAGGGGCAGTCTCTATCGCGCCACTCCGCCACTCAATACTTTTGCCAAGTGAAGTGCTGGATTCTGGACGAGAATCCTGGTCAAGGTGGGGCTGTGGAACTGCAGATGTTCAGTTTAGGACGCACGCATAAACAACACTGCATCATGTGCGCATGTGGCGGGGTTGTTAAGCTGCGTGCACGAAGGAGAGTCTCAAGAAGATGACGAGTTATCTATATTCATCGACAACCTGCGGATTAGACTACCAAGATGCCGCGCTGTGGTGCCTTCCCTGATATCTCTTTGGACGTGCAATGGATCTAACATTCGTTCGGAAGCAGCAGCTCTCCATCGGAGCTGGTGAAGTGTTCTTCATTCGCGTGAAGACATCCGATGAGCAGGCGTTGTCACACTTCCCTGACGGAGACCCCACTACCTGCCCGCTGCTCGCACTGGCACTGGCCTTGATCACGCAGGAGCTCCCTTGCGCCGCTGCTCAACCACTTGCCAGTGAAGTCGAAGGGCGTGCTTTGCGAGTTGACCGAGTCCATTCCACTTCTGGACTTGCTTGATGACGGTAGCACGCTGGATTCCTCGCAGGTTTCATCAACCAACTGCTCCACAAGCGCCAAACCGGTAGCTGAAATCCACGCTCTTGTCAATCGCTTGATTGACCGTGTTGCAGGCCCAGCTGGAGTCGAAGACGCGCTGACATCTCACTCGTTTCGACGAGGTGGTGCGCAGCATGCGAACGCTAGCTCAGAACCAACGGCGCAGTGGATCTTTGATCGTGGAATTTGGAACATGACAACGGCAAACAAAGCCTTTGTGTCTTCAACACTACCAAAGAAGATCACTATGTCGCGAAGGCTCTGAGTGGGAATCTGTCTCCACGGCCAGCCGCTGTTCTTCCGCTGTTGAGTATCTTGGACTAGGTCACACAAGAGCAGGTCAGAGAGGTTAGCTACAAACTCTTCAATGCTAGCCATGGATTTGCCAACAAGGCCTTCAACTTCAGCAAGTGCGGGATTGATGTGCAGACAGCAATAATCATCTACCATTACCCGTGGCTGATGGAGTTTAATTCAGAGGCTCCGGCGAAGAAGACTATTCAGCGCTGTGACGAAGTATCTGGTATGACCACGACAAGCTTGGCGGTATCGTCACAGCAACTCGCGAGGTCAACTGCTCATCCGAAAGCCATTGCAGACGATATATGGGAGAAAATGCAAAAGCCAAAGTTGTGTTCGACCACCAAAGTGCCTTAAGTGGACGGTTAATCAAGGTCAACCGGAACCTTGAGGTTCGAGTCAGCTTGCTAAAGTCTACAAACATATACGCGGCAGGTAAAACATCAGCACGTGAGGATCAAGAGAAGCGACCAATGCACAACGATGAAAGTGTACCAGTGAAGAGCCGACGACAAAAAAGACGACGCCACTTGTGGGCATCTGGCTCGCGTGGTATACGGCAGTTTGCCGTGGACAGCTCAGTGCGAACAAAGCACAAGAAATCCGATTCGAAGCAACTCGTGGCCTTCGTGTGGCTTTTCATTGACGAAGGGTACGCACTCGACGATTCATCGCCCACCTACACGGATAATGTCCGCCAGGTTGGAGGGCTAGCATTGCAAGAAGTCACAGCGTTCAAGGTATGGTCCAATGCGGTGCTTTGGGCGCTTAGCCAGCTGTATCACAAGGGGATTCTAAACGATCTCACCTTCGCGTATCAATAGCATCTCGCGGTTGGCCGCATCGTAGGTTCTGCACTCGCCAGAGCGCCCTTAAGCTGCGTTCGTAATGAAGCCCGGTGTCCATTGTAACACAATTTGTAGCTTCCATTTCAATCGCTCGGGTCAACTTCAAGGTTGGTAAGAGGCATTCGAGAACAAATATATCGACGGGGGGAATCGAACCACAGCCTTCCCTATCGGGGGCTCTTCCGTTGAGCTACTTCGATGGGGTTAGCACAGCAACATCGAAGGATACTCATCTGGGTGCTCGATGGGGAATTACAAGCCTCAGTAACTTCGCGGCCAGGACAATCCTATTAGGAAAACCGATGCTCGGTGCCTCGTCCCTCACCAATTCACCCTCCTGGGTGGTCAATCGAGCGCTGATCTCGCAGAACTGTGCTATGATCGCGAAGCAAGACGAAGTAGGAGAAAGCGATTTATTGGACTACCATGTCCGGATCGACTACTTCACGGTCTTCGTGAGTGCGAAGCCGAGAGCGTCACGCACCGCTCAAACCGTTGCGGAATCGTACGAGGAGGCCGAGTTCAGACGGTTCGGCGCTAGCGAGGCGATCCGTCACAACCATGAGCCTGGAGTTATGTCGGACTTCTTCAAAGCTTTCAGCAAGCTGATGGGGTTGCGACAACGTGCGACGCTGCGTACTGTCCAAAGGAAAATTGGGCGGCAGAACGCACGGTGCAGACCATAACGAGGGCCACCAAGTTGGTATGTCGCCGACATCGACCAACCCGACTGGTACCAGAGCGCGAAGCGTCTAACGCACGCGCTTAACACAGCTCACGACAGGACGTGGAACGAGACCCCGTTCTTCCTCGTTCGCAGTTGTTATCCGCGGTCTACATTAGAAGCAACACTAGCGGTTGGCAACACGCCACACCAAGATGCAGAAGCACGACGGTGGAGGATGCGCATATATCGTCATTATAAAATCGCACGCGCACAATCGCTTAAACTCATCCGCGAGGCAGTAGGCGCGAAAGCTGCGCGTCAGAACTCGTGCACAACGGAATACGCGATAGAACGGGGATCGCGAGTCTGGTTGTACCTGGATCGAGTCAAGCCTCTATACGTGCGCAAGCTCGCATACATGTGGCACGGCCCATTCCGCGTCGCAGAGTTGATCAGCACATACGATGTGAGTCTAGAGTCCGACGGAACTCCGTACCTGTTGTTCCCGATCGTGCACGTCTCGAAGTTGAAATTGAAACCTGTCCGCGACTTCCCGTCGCGGCTCGAGCTGCGACTGACGGTACCCTCGGGAGAACGCTTCGACTTCGATGAGGCGTTCCTCTCGGAGGATAGCTGGGAAACACGCAACTTGGGTGACGACGTGTATGAGGTCGAACAGATCTTGTACGGGCGCGAAGGACTGGCGACCATTTACGGGCGCACGAAATACGATTTCCGGGTGAAATGTCGAGGTTACGAAGAGGTGAGCTGGGTCGACGAGCTAGATTTGAATTGTGGAGGCCTCTTGTACGCTTTTCAGTGGTAACGCACAGGGCGGAGTCGCTTCGAAACGATGCAGTCCCATAAGAACATATCGGGCGAGGAATGAATGATGGTGCGCGTTAAATCGACGGGATGGCCGCCGGCAGGCGGAAATGGAGGAACCAGGTTCGGGGTTGACCGGAACTTAGGAAGATGAGTCGTGGGAAGTCTGTTGGGCCGGCTCATTGGCCGAAGATAGGGCGACGGAGAGTCGTATATGACAAAAGACAAGCAAGAATGGAAAGAATGGATTCAAGAGATATGCACGCCCTACAAAACCAAAAGACGGGTAGCTGCTGTTATAGCTACAACTAAGGTCATCCGCGTGCTATGAACTTGGAAGCGAGATAGCAGGCAGCGTACGCCGGGTGCTCTCGAGTCACAGAGCAATTGCTAGCCGCGTCGAACAGGGTGCCAAACAAACGACGACTTGGCTCGCGCGTTCCGACCTCAGCTAAAGCAGCACCCAGTGTGTAGTTCTGCAGATAGGGTACCAACGCCCGACGTTGGAGCGCCCTCGAGGAAACATGAAAATCATCACATCTAGCTGTATGTCCCTGTCCGTGTATCCCGCGTGGAAGAGGAGCCGCAGGAATTGAACCGGTCCCATCGGTTGATCGCCCGCGTGGGTTACGGCGGTGACGCCATCGCGCCCATGCCTGGGAATTCGACACCTGAACACCTCGTGCGTGGCCTCCCAATATATCTGCGCTCAGTGGTTCAGATGTGTATCGTAACGCGCCAAGAAGGGATGGAAGTAGCGATAGTGGACATCAAAAGTGTGAGGCTGGACGCGGCGCGCGAGGTAGTGTCACGGACAAGTCGCATTCAGAGCGTCAACCACCCTCTCCGTCAGCAAAGCCGGATTTCAAAAGGTCGGTACCGGAGGGGCCGTAGTGGGGAAGATCCAGGCCCAAGGAGCCAAATTATCGCGCGCAGTGAGAGACGGGAGGGTGAGGTCGCGCAACGCACGAGGCCATGAAGTGTACCGACTCCGCGCCCACTCCGCCCGATGTCGTACGGGTGGAATGAAGGGAGTGAAGAAAGGCCGTACGGCGGGTGCCGCGCCGTCGTCGGGTGAACAGTCGGTCGGTCCATCGCCAGGAGATGCTCCGTCGTCCGCGTCCGATCGCTCGCTGTCGGAGAACAGGTTATTGCCGCCCACGCCGAGACCAGCTCCAGATGCGCGAGAGCGATCTGAGTCGGAAGACACCGATCCAAAGAAGGAGATGTAAGGCGATGGCTCTGATGCGGAAGCCGGCGTGCCGCAGAATCCTTGTCTCCAGACTCCGAAGCCATCGCACGAGAACGCAATCCAAGGTTTGGTTAGCCGCGGGAGACGCAACATCTCCGGACTGGGCCGCAGCATTGTCGGAAGCAGCCGTGTCGGCGATCGTCGACGATCGACGGCTCCGACTTAACGCTGGGCACCGCGACCACCCCGATTGGAGATTGTGGGTCCACCCGGACCTGAAGCACGCGAAGTAGTCGTAAACGAGCCGGTGGACGGGGAAGGACACGGAACTTGAGCTCCTGGAGAGGCTGACGCCGTCGCCGTTGCATCCGTAGAATCAGCAGACTGGGGCAGAGCTGGAGGTATCGACGGAGAACCAGTCGAAGCCAGGGAAGGCGCAGAACGCAAACCCGCTGAAGCCGTGGTGCTGCTGGAGGGGTGGCACCGCGGAAGGCGTGGCGGGAGGACGAGAAATTGCGACGCCAGATAACGCAGGGAGCCCGGGGAGTGTGGCCGCCGCACGTCCCACTTCTGGATCGAGATCAAACGGGAGTGGTGTACCGCCGCTTCAACTTTACCATCAAGTCGACGTACAAGCGCAGCGACATCAAGAGAACAGCCGCCAGCAACAACCATGTCGCGCAGGCGGCTGACAAAAGCATCGCAGAACTGACGAGCAGCTTCTCGACGTGGGGGGCTTCCCGGAGGAGGTGTCACCACGTGAGTGTGCGCTCCATGTAGGCGCGATCTACATTGTCAATCAGACGCTCCAGTCGGTTATTTTGGTACGAGCGGTGCGACGGTGGCGACAGAGCGCGTTCTCCATCGCGACCATATGGGCGTGCAGGCGACACTTTTGATCCTGTGCTTGAGCTAGTCGTTGAGACGCGGTACCACGCGCAGGAACTAGGGCGTACGGAAGGCATCAGCACGCGATGCGGCCGGGAGGAGAAGAGCCTGCCCGTTATCGCGATCAGCTTGCGCTGAAGCGCGGGCTTGTTTCAGTCGCGGATGACGGAGTCTTCAGGTCGCGAACGGGGGCCACATCGCGCTGGTGTTCTTCGGCATGTGCCACGAGCAGAGTGTTGACGCGCTGGAGATCGTCCTGCAACGGCATGTTTGCCGCATGAGCGACTTCCAGTTCGCGACGGCTACCCGCTACTGTGTTGCGGGAGTCACACTGCTCCGAGACCATGGAATCGCGCTGATATCGGTGCATAATGCTCGTGGCGAGGCCCTCGAGTGAGAGAGCCAACCTGAACCCGCAGAGACGCGACAGACGCTTGCAGAGTGGACAGCTCGGTAACAGTCTAGAACAACGCATTGCAAGCGAGGTCAGGCTGCGACACAGCGGCGGAGACGGTGGAGGTGGTGTTGAGGTGACGTCTGTTGGCGTCGCGGCTTCTGAAACCTGAGGAGGAGACACGATCGCGACTGAATAAATTGGAACAGCTAGAGGAGGAGACGTCAGGGCCGCCAGCCGAGAGTTCAGATTAGAGATGCGGGCCTCCGTCCGGTCCTGCGTTCCCTAATACCGGCGGCCTTGTCGGTCGTGGCCTTGCAAAGGTTCTCATTACTCGTCTGCCACTCGGTGGCGCGGCCAGCATTTTCCCGTAGGCCCACATTCACGTCTCACAGCTTGCGAGGAGTCCGGTGGCGCCTCGACCTCGAGGCTGAGACGATTGACGTCGTCACGACCTATGTCGTAGTCTTTATGAGCTCGATCCCACAGAGTGTCCAGTTCTTCGTGAAGCACGGGTGTGTCAACCACCAGACAGACGTTCAGGGCCGTCGTCGGTTTCAATCGAGAACGCAGTACCTGGGGTCATGCTCCAAGATGAAAGCGTCCATGACGAGCACGTCCACCGACAGAATGGGGTCACCGACGGCGGTACTTGAACCGAAAATAGCGGAGGTATCGACGACACACACGGCACAGTGGTTCGGGAAGAAGTCGTTGGGGACCAACTTACGCGTGGAGACGTCGGAACCGGAATCACTAGCTACGTATAGCAACCCAAGCGGAGGTCATCCAGCGTCAGGTGTGCGCTGAGATTCATCAGAGTTCGCCATTGGGCTTGAATAGCATGGTCAAGGGAGCAAGCACAAGGTATTAGTGTGTGCATAACGCATTGGGTTCCGCAATTATCGACTCACCTGAGGAGTGCGTAGGAATGCCGGCGGGACAGAAGTGGTGGAGTGCTCCAGGGAAATCCGACAACACGATGTGACAGTTGAAGGTCAATGTGGCGAATAATGGGATACGATTGGCAATGGATGAGTGATCGCCTCAGACAGTCACAATAAGTAGCGTTCCAAAACTCCGTCCCTGAACCCTGATCTACTCCAGGACGGGTCCCGATCTAGCAGATGACGGACCCCGATCTAGCCGATCCGTGGCCTGTATCATGACTCATGTAGAGATACTGCGAGTATTAGGGTTGTAGAAAGGTGCGACTATTAGACGAACGTTAGTATCCAGTGGGTAAGATAGGCAGGATAGGATCAGTTCCCATTATTCATGGTTGTGCAAAAATCTTTATAAGTTACTGGCTGGACAGGAGCCCCACGTATTCTTCGCGCGTCTACGTCTGAAGACCTTCCGGTGCTTGGCAAGTAGAGCCGCGTCGATAAGTGCACCACCCCCGACGTTTAGGCTGGTTGGTGAATTCACACGAACACCCCGAGCCCGTAGTGAGGGACACGCAAAAGAATACCGTCGAAGCGTCCTCAGACAACTGGACATGGGTAACGAAGAACGCGTTGTGGCCCGATAACAACCCACACCCCATTGGAAACGACGGCCCGATAACGCCTCACTCCCCATTTGGAAACGCCGGTCCGATAACGCCGCACGACCCCAGACAAAACCCACGACTGAAGGTTCAGAACTGACACCCATCTATGAAGCCAACCTACACCGCAACGAGACTCTACCTCAACTGCATCTC